CCCTAGTCATCCTATCCCATCCCACATCATCCATACCATACCAACCCATTTCCCCTCCCTAGTAAAAGTATAGTATAGTAAAGTAAAGTAAAATAGTAAAGTACAACAAGTAGATAAAAGTAAAGTAAAGTAACATTGAAATTAAATACCCCGAACCGATTGGCCCATGTAATCTTCACCAAGGTTCCACAGCTCGCTCCCAAAAGGGAGGGCGGAGTTTCATTTTCCTTTTATTTATTCATTTCTCTTCCTTTCGTTCACGGGGATGAGAGAAGGGAAGCGAAGATTCAATTAAAAGTAAGCATGATATACCGATTTACCGATTCGATTCATTCGCCTTGTGAATATAGATAGAGTACGTAGGTACCTCCTCTACCTACCTCCCGACGGGTATGAATGAGTTTCTGTCTTGGAGATTTGGCTTTCCCAATTCCCATGTTTGATATTTGTTTTTCCATTATTGATGGATATTTGAATTAGATTGGATTGGGTTGAAATTGAATTTCGATACTCTACTATGTACTTATATAGTATGGTTAGTGTATGGATATTGGTTTCAAAACATCAGATTCAGGTTTTAGGTTTTGGGCTTTAGGCTCTAGGTTTCTAGGGGTTTTGGTTCTTGGATGATTTGACTTTGGCTTTCTGTGAGATATTAATTTTGAAGAAATATAAAAAGAAAGAATAAAATAATAAACAAATGAAAAAATAAATGAATTAATATTTTCTGTATATACTGAGTTTGTGAAATTTATAGAGTATATCGAAAATTCCTCAATCAGTATAATTATATCATATAATATCCTCCTCCCTTTGATAAATCCCCCCTTACCTTACCAAAACTACCTCGACACCGCCTTCAATTTTCCCAATTCCAAATTCCCACTTCTTAATCACACCAACCCCAAATCCCACAATCAATTCTTATCCTAAATCGCAACCACTAACCAAGTTGCCGAGGCACCTTTTATTACTCTCACTATCGGTGTACCTACGTTCACCACCTATCTACTTCACTAACATCAACACCGACACCAATATTTTCAGCTTTTCAAGGTACAGACAGAGTACGGTCCTTGGGGTATTTTCCGCTTTTTTTTTTTTTTTTTTTTTTTGGAAAAGGCTCTGTGTCAATGCTGAAGATATATCTTTGGTATCGGTAGGTAGATAGATACCAAGTAGGTAAGCTTGTGGAAGGTTTGGAAGGATGGATGGGTGATATGGAGAGCTTGTGTCTTTTTAGGGTCTTGCAAAGACATCATCTATTGTAGTAACTTTCTAGTTAATTTGTTATTCAATAAATAGTATATTGATTTAGTTTTCAATATTCAAGTAATATCTAATATCTAACATCTAATATCTAACATCTAATCTGATGCCTCAGCTAAACTCCAAATTTTATAATATTTCCCCATATCCATCTAAACTTAACAATCACTAATCCAATCAATTATCTCCTTCCCTGGTACCAAAAACCTCACAAATATATCACAACATAGCATTTAAACCTCGATACTCAAAATCCCCTCTCCAAGCACGGTATACGTACAAGAAAAGGGGATTTCCCCATTCCCGATACTAAACAAAATATTCCTCCAATACAAAGTAATTATAAGATCCAAATTCCAATTCCCATCCATTTTACACTGTAGAAAATAGAAAAATTGCATCAGAAAGTCAGGAACTAGCCAATCAGCATATCAACCAGCAAGCAGGCAAGCGAGCATATCACATTTTCAATGAAACCTCCCAGTTCCAAGTACCAAGTTCTCAATTCTGTGTTCTGTGTTCTTACCCGGACATTTTGATCCAATGTAATCCATCCATCTATTCATTCATTTATTAATAAGTGATTCAATCTGATTCATCTAATGCATCTATTGATACTCCGTAATTGAAGGAAGGAATGAATGAATGAAGATCCCATTCCCATCCCATGATTCCCATCCCATCCTCAACAACAAAACCAAACCAAATCAAATCAAGCCAAACTCCAAATCCCCAAACCTCACAAAACAATCAAGGGTCCCAACTCCCCGTCCCTCATACCTCATACCTCATACATGCCTCGTACCTACCACCCGCCACCTACGCTCTCACGTTACATTATGACCTACGAGGAAGAGTGAATAATTAGCCCCAATCGTCATTTCCACGTGGGATGCCTGTTTTGTGCCTTTTCTGCGAGAATGTGATGTGTGTGATGTGAGAATGTGAGGATTTGGGTATGGGTATTTGGGTTGTGTGATGCTGATGCTGATGTTGGTGCTGTACTCGTTAGTTAGTTAGTTAGTTAGTTAGCTACCTAGGTAGTTAGGTAAGATGTTTGCGTGTTGTGATTTGTCTGTGTATTTGATAGGTACTATGGATGGATATACGGGATTGTGGAATTGATATTGGAATTGGTATTGAAATCATCATCATAATCACATTTGTAAGTTGCTCTTGAAGTAATCTTATATTCTATTCAATCATGTAGCTAACGGATACAAACACAAATACAAATAAATAAAATACCATACACCGTAATAATATAATTGCAATCAATTACTTGACATCAGATCACAATCCTCCTTTTTCGTACATTATCAAGCTAGCTAATTATCTACTAGTTACCTAGGATACATACTACATCAAGTAAATACTACTACTCCGTACAAACAAATAATCAAATACTTTTCAGCCTCAAAAACTTGGAATGAAAAATCGAGGTCGTGTGAGCAGAAATAAGAAGAAAACTTGTTACTCAGCCCCTTCATCTCGAGTCCTTTCATATTTACGGAGTAGTTATCCACGGAATATATCCACATGCACATCCACAATTCGCCATCCGCTACCCGTCATCCGTCATCCGCTATTTGCCAATCTGCTTATTTACTGAAGTGACTATACAGTTAGTGTAACTGAGAGGCCATGATTGAATTCGGTAAGTAGGGTAGATAAGTAAGAGATAATAGGACAGGAAAGAAGAATAGGTACAGTAATGAAAATAATGCAATGCAGTCAGATCAGATGAGATGAGATGAGATGAGATGAGATAGTAATCCTCAAAATCTTATCATATCAACTCACCCAAGAATAATAATAAGACTTACAAAAGTATAAAGCAAATACGGAGGAGTACCAACCAGTAGATGAATAGAAGGAATCCTTACGAATCACCAATAATACAAAAGGATAACAAATCATCAACTGAACTCTTAACCCATGACCATCAACTTCTAACCATGTCATGTCGTCTCGTCGGTGTGTGTGTGTGTGCGTGTGTGTGTCCGGGGAATAAAGTGCATAGAATCCGATGTATGGGCTCAATTGATTTTCCACATTTCCACTCACGAAACAGGAGCTTGTGTGATGTGATATTATATTATTGCGAGAGATAATCATTCTTAAAAGTATATGTAGTGCGCTTTGCATGCACTCTGTATATACATACATATATCAATAATTTATATAGATACAAGCACGTACGCACGCACGCACAGCACAGATATGATATGAGTAATTACTAGATAGGTAGTGAGATGATAAAGCTGAGTTTTATCTTACCGTTACACACACCTTACTTACTTACATCTTCTATCAAACAATAAACACATACACCAATAGATATACACCAATGAATAAACACCAATGAATAAACACCAAAATAAGTATCTATCATTTATAACAAATGATTTTCCCACCTACCTCACTCCCACACAATCAATCACACACCTACCATATCTCACCGCTACGTGCTCCCTAAACAACAGATAGATAGACAGACAGACATGTGATTTCTCCTAACTTCCAGGTCGTGTGTCTGTGATGATCCATACTATACTCCGTACATATCCATATACCCCGTGCTCATACCGACGGGGTAATAATTTATAGTTTCAAGTTTGAGCATTTTATTTTTTTAATCTTGCAGTTTTTGAGGGGAATTAGTAGGATGTATAGTACGTATAGGTAGAAGGTAGAAGGTAGAAGGTATATCTTCGGTATTTAAGTAGGAGAGGAGAAGGAAGGGAAGGGAAGGCAAGATGGAATATCGTGATGTACAAGTGAATCGTGATCGATCATGACGGATGAATAGATCGATAAATACGATACGATATGATAGGTACTCTCTCTACTCTGTATACATTACGATTGAGAGGGTATCGGAGTATTCCGAATAATATTCGATAGGTAGGTATTTGTGATGTTTGTTTATTCCCTTTTCTATTTGGCCTCCTCATTCCTCATTTCTCATTTCTCATTGGTAGCAATACTAAGCAGGGAGGGATATGAAAATTCTCCCTTGTGATAAATAATCATACAGTACCGTACCGTACCTACCCTACAAAAAAAAAGAGGCGATTTCACAAATAGATATTCCCATCCAAATCAATCAATCAATCAATTATCAATCAATCGATGCGGCTGAATCTTTGGAGTAAAATACTCCGTATGTATTTGAAAATTGATGAATCACGAGGCAGTGCAGGTCCCTGGAGTCCCCGACTGAAGTCTTTCCCTTCCCTGACGAGCGATACGAAAAAGAGAATTTAGGCTGGCTTTGAAACCATGTGGCCCCATGGGAAAAAAGCGACGACGGCGATGTTGTGGCGAGCGAGTCGGAGGCGATAAACTCGTACATACATGGCGTGGATCCGTGAATCCGTGAATCCGTGATCACTGGTCACTGATCTCCATTCGTGAGTCAATGGGTTTGGTTATTGTTTATTGCCGTGAGTAATTCTTGGGGTTTGATGGATATTTTTGTATTTTGTCTTCTGTATTCTGTAACCTTGACCTTGTATTGAATTTTCTATGCCGTAGGCCAAGGAAGTGTAAAAACCACTCCCACCGATGATTTACTAATCATCACCATCATCACCATCGCTATCATACAATCATTCAATCATACAATCACATTATGTATTAATGAGATAGGATTGATGGTATAAGGTTTATCACTACTCTATACTGTGTCCTTACGGAGTATAACAAGGGATGGATCAATCAAGGATCATTTTCAGGGTCCTCTGCACTTAGTATTGTGTGTTACTTTGTAGAGAAGAGTTTTACACGGAAATATTACCAGGGGGGTCCGCATGGTGAGGGAAAAAAAGACGGAACATCCTAGGTACGGAGCATGCAGAGTTTTGTTTGATGAGCATTTTGAGCTTGGATAATGAAATGTTCCGAGGTTTGGAAAAGACAAGGGTTAAGAAGGAGGGGTTGGCAACTGACAGCGAAAAAACCTGAATCAAATTGTCATGCTCTTTTCATTTTGGGAAATCCTTTGGATGGCTTGGGTGCTTGAACGTTGTACAAAGTTTATAGGTATATGTACGGTACATAGATAGATACATTGACTGTACTCTCTCTCTCTCTTCACGTTCCAACTTTGAACGCTTTGAAGATTCGATCTGATGAGAATTTGGAGATAAAACTTGGATTGGAAGGATATGGGAGCACTTCCGAGAGGCCACCAACCCTCGGCATGGCATCGCATGCCAGTTTCATACATAACACATACCCTTCTTTTTCCAATGTTGATCTGATCCTCCCAAACGTCTTAACATGCCGAAAATGGAAATGATGATGGGCGGGGAAAATCTCACGATACTTTGATACTTGTGAGCTGTAAGTTTCGAAGGGATACGTAGGGATTCTTATATCGGTACGTACGGCATTGATGTTTCTTAAATCACCAGTCACATCGCTGAACCCGTGGTAAGCGAAATCCCGGCGCTTCCAAAAAAGAGATTGACGGTTCCATCTGCCTTATTGGTATGTTTCCTCAATTACTACAAGGGTAAAGGTGACAGTTGATCTTTTTAAGGTCAGGATGCTCCTTATCTGATTTAAGGATAGTGAGGAAAGATACAGGAAGTAGAAGGGAAGTAATGCTTGAAGGTAATATCTTTTGGATGGCTTGATGCTTGATGCTTGATGCTTGATGCTTGATGCTTGTTGCTTGATGCTTGTTGCTTGTTGCTTGTTGCTTGTTGCTTGTTGCTTGTTGCTTGTTGCTTGTTGCTTGTGCTGTGCTGTGCTGTGCTTGTTGCTTGTTGCTTGTTGCTTGTTGCTTCTTACTTCTTCTTACTTCTTGCTTGTGGGAAGAATGGAGAATGAATTGAGTGGCTTTGATTGATCCCGTGCGTTATTACATCATGAAAGACGTGGGTCCTCTCTTTTTGAGTTTGGTGTTTCGAAATTTTCGAAATTCTAACCCATCGTTGAAAAAAGTGTTATATCAATATTACTTTTTATTCTTTTTATTGAAAAGTCTGAAACCTTTTCGGAAAAAGCTTGGAGGATTGTGATCTTTGGTTCAGGGGTACTCCTATTGTTTGTAAGTAGGTAAGTAAGTAATATATACTATGTACCACGAGAAGAAGTCCATAGAAAAAAGAGAGGAGAAAATCACAGAGAAGGTTCAAGGATCCAAGGAAATCTGCTGGAAATGACTAGGAATATTGTATGACGGACAGCAGTTTAAGTATGAAATGACGATTAGACTTGATTTGTTTAAAATAACCTCAAGATGTCAACATGAATGAGATGGTGGTCTTACAAAACCGAGCAGGATTATGGTGTGATCTCTACTCTGTATATTGGGTGCCGAGTAGATTCACAAAGAGGAAATTAATCTTCACTTTGAAATTCAAATCTTCTTCTTTGCGAGATGAAAGGTGTTGCTTGTTGCTTGTTGCTTGTTCAATGTTGACCTTGTAAGAGCTGCTTCTGGTGTTGAGCTCGGTTGGTGGGGGGCGGCACTGGGGGAAAGCTTATAGATCTTTCACACCATGACTAGTGGCAACTTGCAAGCTTCAGGAGACGGACGATTCATAAAATATTTGTACTCAAACTACTCAGACTACCTACTCAGACTACTCACCACTACTCACTAACTAAAACAACTCAAAACGATAATAATACGAACATCCAAAAAGAACTAAATGAAGAATAGGGACGGTACTACGGCGCTACGATAGGGTCAGTACTAAGTCGACTCGGTAGGCTCGGTAGGGGCTTCACTTCCGCCTTTAAGAAAAAAAGAAATGGAGACGGTACATATCACGATTGTCATCTAGAGAGTAAACGTCAACAACTAACTGGAACTAAAAGTGCATATCAACGTTGTCAGACTCTCCATAGTTCCATAGTTCCATAATTCCATAATTCTTATAATTTCCTTACGAAATTTTGATCGTTTGGTGCTTTGCATTGGGTCTCGCAGGCATCCTAATAATCAATCTACCATAGGATGGTATCCGGCTTCTCCATATCTGCGTGTCCTTTGGTAGGTATCATTCATTGATTCACCTGGTGGGTGTCGTGGGTGTCGTGGGTGTCCATAATATTTTCGGGATGCATTTCCTAGTTTCACGATCATGTACCAATATACATCCAATATGATGATGACTGGAAAAGGTTCAACTCCACTTACACTTTCTAGCGATGCAGTGCAGTGCAGCGCAGCGCAGCCAGTGCAGACTGTGCAGTTAGCAAAAGAAGTGACACACAGTGACCACGCGTGAACACTCGAATCAAGAGTCTTTGACTAAAACGTCAAACTCACCGAGACGAGCGAACAAATTGAAATCGAGTACCGAGTTCCTTTTTGACCTGCGTGTGTTCAAAGGCCACTGGAAAGGAAAAAAAGAGACACCCACAATAAAATCCAATCCATGAAAAGGATACCCAATTTAACTTGACCCCCACTCAACCCATTTGGGAAAACTCCCCAAGTGTGAAATTTGAATTAACCAAAACGATTCTTGTTGACCCCCTTCATCCATGAATCAAGCCGTCAATCCATGAATCCATAATCCATGAATCCTCGAATCCATGAATCTCTAACCCGACTATCTGGATATCACAATCGAGGGAAGCTTTTTAACTCTTGCATACAGGAAGCGGACGGCGTCACGGCACGTTGCATTTCCCTAGGTCCTAGGTACGTTTTAAACCATCCTTCCATTGCATTTCCTTCTTTACGGAGTACTTTGGCATCCTTGAGTCTGCCATAATATATTTCGACCACGATGATTGGCTGATATTTGCCAGAGTGGGAAACTTAATCCATTCTCGGGAATGTTCTAAGGGTAACACGCTCCCCTGAACAACATTTTGATCTTTTCCTCCAATACTTCATCCTCGTTGCTACAGTCTCAGATTATAATGGAAAATATTTGTAGTGCCATTGTACTAAATCCGTTGTCCTCCACTCAAATTCTTGCCTTAATTGATTAATAAAACGGTAGATAGGGATCTTTTTTTTTTTTTTTCTTTTTTTTTTTTTTTTCTTCTGAATCACTTGCAACCCATTCAAAATCCAACCACTTTTCTTTCCCCTCTTGACTCACCCTCTCACTTCCAACTTCTCTCCTGCTCGCTCTCTCTCTCTTCCTCTTCCTTCAAAAGGGAAGGTTTCTGACCGTTGTGTTTGGGAGGTCCGGGATCATTCTCGGTCAGGGGTGGATCAAGCATAATTATGTGGCATAATTGGCACTTTCGGAATTTACCAGAAAAGTATAGCGTCACGGATTCACAGGTGTCAAGGAGATCTGCAGCGACGTATCCTAGTACTTGACGGCTTTATCAGGGTCCACTGTAGCCAAGCTAGGGAGATACACCGGGGCATGGCAAAAAAAAAATGCAAGTAGGAGAGGGATGCCCATCGCCCCCTCGGTTTGGTTTTCTGAACGGCTTCTTTTTTGTAATGTGAATGATTGCGTGCGTACGTAACTGTACTACACGGTATATACAGCTTAATAACTTTTTTAGTGTTTGATTTTCATAAGGGAGAATTGATTATAGGAATGCAATTGATAGTTTGAAGTCCTACTTATTAGAATCATCAAGAATATAGATTTTGTATCATGGTGTATATATTGTACTGTTATTTCCCTGATAGAGAAAGTGTATAAATATATTTAAATAATAAAGATTGAAAAATCAATATATAATTAAAAAAGTTTCTTTTTTATTTTAATTTTTCACTATATTATTATACTTTATCTTATTTAAACTTGGTATAAATTCAAAAATAAAACATGTAAATATACTTATACTATTAGATTTTTCTTCCTCAATAGATTTAAATAAATCATTTAACTCATCATCATCAGATATACAATCTCTAATATCATATATTCAACTTTGTAAAACAGAGAATACATCATTCTACTCAAAAAGCGCATTACACACCGTCAATATTTCATCATCCGCTCATTGTCCTATTGTAACCCCCTTACACCTGAAGCTACTCGAGTAGAGGACTCGCACAAATAATGCCTACATGCCTACATACCTAATACCAAATACCTAATACCTCATACCTAATACCTGCCTACCATTCTACCCAATCTACTCAGTAGGTAGTAATCAGACAATATCAGACAATATCATCCAACCATATTGGAATAATATAAACCCCATCTGGTTGGTCATTTCCGAATTGATACACCCCCCTCTCCAAGTTCGAACCTCTTTAGTCTTAGTTTCCACAATTTCGCAGTTGATTATTTGCCTGAACCAAGTTAGTGAAATCGGCAAAGGGAAAGGATGGTCTCTCTTTTACCATACTTGGGCTGGCAAATCTTTTTGGGTGTCACGGCCGATTAATTTTTTTGAATGGGTACAGTACAACACTAAAGTAACTCCAATATACTCGAACCTTCCCAACCACAACCTACCACACACACACCTTTTCCCACTGTTTTCCACCCAAAAATCTCTCTTTCCGAAAAGAAAAAAAAAAATAAGAGAGAGTGAAAAAGAGAGAGCGCGCGCGAGAGAGAGCGAGAGTCAGAGTCAGAGAGAGCAGAGAAAATCATTCAGCACAGCTCAAGAAGGAGAAAATAAGAAGGGATTCGATGCAAATTATTTTTGCTCGTAGCTCTTCTGAGCTTCCATCCTAAGAAAAGAAGAAGACGACGACGACGAAGAAGAAGAAGAAGACGACGACGAAGAGAAGAAGTAGATGAGAGGAAGAAGAAGAAGAAAGAGAGAAAGAAAGAACAAAAAACATCCAAAAAGTTTCAATCAATTCCAGTCGACTTTTCTTCAAGCAAAAGATACCCATACCCCATTATTATTTTTGTACTACCACAATTTCGAATCCAAGTCACGACCATTCACTCTCAAACCACCAAACTACCAAACTACCACTTTCTTTGCAACACCATACCACAACCATACTACAACCACACACACACAATACACACACAATACACACACCTTACCTTACTTCACCTTACCTCATCTCACCTTATACAATACCAGAACCTCTCAACACCACACCATATCTGCCAGCAAAAGATATCTACATCTACCTCGGTTTATACAGAACTTGTCACAAGAAAGTTTATATTCCATATTCTATTAAAGCTGTATCCTTCAGCCTGCGGAGCATCAAAGCTCACGACTCACACCTCCTATCAATATGGCATCACCAACTGAAGCGACGGTTCCCGCCATACCGCCAACTTCTTCTCTGGAACCCGTTACCGCCAATCCATCACTGGCTGATTCTCCTTTAACAAATGATTCATCAAGCACATCTTCTTCAGATGCAAATGGAGGAAGCACACCAGCAAATACATCTGCTAGTCGTACGCCATCAATTAAGAGACCGAAGCTCGGCACGAGAAAGTCGAGCGGCACTATAATAGTACCGCGTGAACACCCGCGCGTGGAACTAAAAGAAGGGGATGAGGTCTTTGACGAGGATGATGCCAGAGCCATGAGTCCAAGGAGGAACAGTGAAGATTTAGAAAAGATGAGTCAAGATGCCAGAGCGCAACTCAACGAGTATGTTACCCTCCCTTCCTACTCATGAATAACGTGTAGACCAAATGACACATCACACACAATGCTAACCCACCTCCTTTTTCAAGACATGCCAAACTCCTTCAACAATCTCTCCTCGAAATATTCAATCGAATCGAAGCCGTCAAGGAGGAACACGATAAACTGGATAACAACAATAAATTCTTGCAAAAGTACATCGGAGACTTAATGTCCACGTCGAAGATTACATCAACTGGTGCTGGAGGCCGAAAGAAATAGCCATTAGCCGTGGAGACCAAGGAAATAGAGGAGGTATGTCGTAAAAGGAAAGCCCCACGGCATCAGGTCTGGTCAGGTCGTAAAAAGAACAAGCATAGCAAAGAAGACCGAGAGGTATAACATGTGATGCGCGGGACCAGGAAAAAGGCGAACCAAATATTGATACCCCTCACATACATACGATCACACACACATACCTCTCTCATTAACGACTCATGATTTTTCCCATTAATGATCATTGCAAAGAGCTTGCAAAGAGATCACAAGGAACATCACCACTGCCTCCTTACTACTTTACGACATTCTCCACTCATTTCCTGGTCTCCACACAAATTTACAGTTCTCACATACAAATAACACAGCTGGCTGTATTATCAGCATCGGCATCTCAACATATCTTGCAACAACGACGACCAAGCGACTCAGAAGGGGACGAAGATGAGCAGGCATTACAATGGCGTACTTTTTTTCAGTTTTGGGTTTTCTGGTTCAATTTAATTCATCGAACATCCTGGAGCTTTTATTCCGGAACCTCCATTTTTGATTACTCGGTTTGGGCACTTGCTTTCGTTTTTGGCAAAGGAGGCGGGGTAGGCTATATCATGGCATTATTGGCATGGCTTTGGCATTCGAGCTTTTTCTTTTTGGCTTCTCTGATGGCATTGCATTCGGAACTGGCTCTGGCATTACTTTTTATCATTTATCATCATCAGCGACAGGCGTTCATTTTCTTTTTTTGATTTCAAATTCTTTCGCTCAACACACTTGGTATTCACACTTCGAAAAACACACACACACACAAATCGCACATATCTTTTTACGGGAAAGCAAAGTCATCGATGCTTTATCTATGGTCCTGTGGGCAAATTTGCCATATAAGACGATCTTATACCATACCCTTGGAGTAAATATTAGACTGGAATGGATGGGATGGAATGATTGAAATCGGGAGAAGGTGAATAGGAGGCGAAGCTGATATTTAAAACATTCATACTGTTATTCATATGCAGCTTGACGGGGCAGGGAAGCAAATATGTTGAGGAGTAAATGGTATGGATGGGGTTTGGGAATGATTTTGAGATGAGGGGTTTGCTTGAGAAGGAGGAAGAGAAGGGGAAGAGAAAGTGTGTATTATAGATGCAGTACAATACAACACAACAATACAAATTTATGGTTTAATGCAACAGGATAAGGGTGTGAGTTTGAGATTGGATGAGATAGGATGTATACTGTGTTACATACATGACTATACTACAATGATGATGGGAAGTTGGTTACCTAAATGATGGGAAGTGGATTACGGTGTATGATATATGATGTATGGCATTGAAACATCACCATATCATTGTAAGATTCAGCATACCTATATGTACTAAGATACAATATATGAAATGCTTAACTTGACTTGACTATTTATCTTTATAATACAACTCAACGCAACATAATAGAATACAATAAAATGAAATAATAAAAGAATTCTGAAACCTACTCACCGCACACCATTAGAATTCGTGACAAAAATCCCTGCAGAAATCATATTTTCCTATTTACAATTAAATATTAATTAAACTTTTTTTTCAATGTTGAATAAATTTAATTTAGAAAATTTTCAAATCTTTTTCTTTTTAAATTTCAAGATTTATTTCAAAGATTATATTAAAAGGAATGACCTCACACAGGGAATAGTGGGAAGCTGATAGGGCAGAACTGAGGTAATATTGGTCTTATAGGTTAATCTCTCTTTTAAGTTCTATAGAAGTGCGAAGCTCTCTGTAAGAGAGCTTCTCAATCTAGTCCTAACAGGACTAGTGCCCTGTGCACGTGCTACGCAGGAACCATTCACTTTAACAAATTCTACCATTACTATAATTTAAATCTTTAATTCAACCTATATCTAATAATACTACTACTTCCAAACAACTCATCTTGAACAAATATTACATATTAAGAATCTTTTTAATATTCTCTTCAATAATCTTATTTTTATTTTTGTTTAATTCATTATTCATCTAATTCTTATAATATTCTTTATCCCCCTCTCTGTCACACTCAAGAATACTGGGTAAAGTATCTTGTATTAGAAAATACTAAGCTAAGGAGAAAAGAAGAAGGAAAATAAGAGTAGCGAGTTTTCCTATGATTAAATACAAACGGGGCATGCCATGTGACCCGGAGGTGTGAGGCGTAACACTCTCTAACTCTCATATATCTATTCTCTCTTTTTATTCTCACTTCCTATACTTTTCTCTTTCTTTTTCCACTTTTCTCTTCCTCTCCCTTTCCCTCCTCCTATCTTCCTACCCTTCCTCCACTTCCCCCTCCAACTGTCAACACTCCCCCTCCTACCCTCCCACTCCCACTCCCACTCCCACTCCAACCTCTACAAAAACCCATCACCAAAATACCACTTATCCCCCAAAAACAGACCCAAATAACAAAGTTTACTCCATACTCCACAGTACATAAACATCAAATACAAAACCAAGTGATAATAGTATTCAAGATTGAGATGGTGTGGGAGTGGGAGTGGGGAGCTGGATAATAAGACAGGAAAGGCTGTAGACACATTTATGGAAACAAAACAGTATTCTTCCTCCTATATCATCTTTATACTTCTTCTCGGTTCTGTCCCTTCATTATTACATTGGAATAACAAGTGATATGCTCCTCCACATCACTTACCTGTATATCATTTGATACAAAAACTCACCGTGACATTCATTTTCACACCTACAAACAATATCCTCATATTATATCACTAGGAGCTGTGCAAAACTTTTAAACAATTCTTCTTCAATACATTGGTATACTACAATCTCCTTTACCTTCCTCAACTAAAAAAATTAACCGAATAAAACAACTCCAAGACCCCCTAAGATGCAACAACAGTAAAGGTAGTAGTGCAAATAATAACCACGATAACAATAACCGGTAATAAAAGACCTAATAACATCGATCCCTATACCATAGCGGATGAAAACGAAAACGAAACAAATGAACCAAATGAGTAATTTTAGTCTTCCCGTCTCAAGTCTCTAACGCTGCTGGCCTTCGTCGGAAACGATAAACACTCAAAGTTTGAGCTACAACTTCTGCCTCATATCCTCATGGCTTACTCCTCCTTAAATATTATCAACTGCACTCAAAACTGCCCTCTCCGAATCCTTTCCTCTACTATGCCCACTAGCATTCGATTGTCTCGAGGCCTTCCTTAATGAAGGAGAAGATCTAGGTTCATCCTCATCATCAATAGCTTTTGAGGATGCAGGAGTAACGTTCCTTTGTCTCTTGGTACCCATTACATTAGTCGATGTGAAAAGATGTGATGACCTTCGAGTAGAACTACCACTTGTATTTCGCTGATTGTTGGAGCCAATAATTTCTGCTTGACCTCCTGGACTTCGACTACTATTTTCTTTATTGCCCTTGGCGCAACTTAATGAAGAGGAGCTTAATCTTCTGGAATAAAGAAAACGACCTTCTTCAATTTGAGATACAAGTCCTTCAGGTGTATCCGGTGCACCAAGTGCACGTGGTGTTGGTACACGGTCGATGCAGGGTCTGCTAGGCCCTCTTTGCATAGATGGCTGCCGAAGTGCAATTGAGCTCACCAATGTAACTTCAGATTCATTTTGCGGTGTATTATCAGGCACAGGTGGTAACAATGCTTCACATAGAGATTCGTACGCGCCCGTACTCTGCATATCATTATTTCGAAATGCTTTCTCAATTACCATAGGATCCGATACATTTCGTGTACTTCCTGCCTGTTCACTAGAATTACTTGGGAGATCTGGCATAGAAGTATCGGTCGAGGTTCCTTGACGACGCCAGCCTGGGAAGGGACGTGTCGATTCTGAAGTGAATGGGTCAAAGTTCGGAGATTTTGAGAATGATGGTGGTGGTGGTGGCATAGAATTCGTCTGTGAGGACATGAACTCAACGGCTGGGGGCTTTCGTGGAGAGTGGGCATGAGCCTCACGATCTTCTTCTACCCGTTTTGGTGAAGAGTGTTGAGTATAGAAAGGTGCGACAAGGGAGACCTGGCGCCACATAGTCGCATTTGGCCATGCAATAGAAGAGGCTTCGAGAACATCTAAGAGCTGTTAGTTCGATAATTCTGTCATTGTGAACATGCTAGTAAATAAATATACCTAGCGGGGCATGCTGAAACGAGAAAGCTACTAGATTCTTGATACGTTCAAATGGCATAGAGAGATTATCTCGTGGAACACCTTCTGATACCACCACCTTCACGCGCCCAAGGTCGTCTCCCGGGTTCCAGTAACTTTGTGAGAGAAGTTCTCGATGAAAAGCAGGAAACTCGAGTTTTTTGTAATCTCCCTGTTTGTCGATTTCTGTGAGTTGTCAGATCATATTTACCCTCAGTATTCCAATATATAGTTATGCTCGTGTCTAGTGCAGGCCAGATGGAGGTTCTATATTTACCGACGCTAGTTTCGAGAACTGTTGGCCATGGGCCATTTCGATGAAAAAGTTTAGTACTAGGGACTCGTCAATATTGTTACTTTCCGCAATAAATGGCCGGGACTTACCTAGCAATTCGTCCATCGACAAATACACGGGCTTCAAATAGAACATTCTCGGCATGTCTGCTACTAATCTGATGTATGTAACGGCTGGCTTCGGGATTTTGCCAAGAATGGATAGATATTCTGAAAGATTCCCCAGCAGGCAAGCTTGGGACGAAACAAGTGACTGTGGGAAGTAGTAGAGCAGCGCCCTGCGATTGATGAACTTCTGCGATTACATCAGCTCTAAAGGCATTCGACTTCTAATTGAGTGCAGGCACATACCGGGATCCTGAACAACTTGACAGGAAGTTTTGAACTCTTGTAATGGAATCTTGCATAGTTCGTTTGGGAACATGAGAACGTCCCAGTTCTGATAACGCATTTCGAAAAACTTGCAATTATTAAGAATTAGGAGTTTTGAGTTGATAAGCTGTGGCAAAAGCCCAAGCAAGTGCTGAAGCAAATCTTGAACAAAAGTTGAGGCAGAAGAGATAAGATCGTAGATCGGAGGGATACGCAAAAATACATGCAAGCCATAACCAGGTAACAATTTATCTAGAGAGACTGATGAGGGCAAGAACGAGGCATTGAGTTGGGAAGGAACGACCTGAATGGACGTATCCCCGTGCGCAGATATGGACAAACTCTAACAATTAAAGGTCCAACATCTGTGGTCCTATCCCTGGGGCTCCTTACTACGTTATCCACAGATGTATTTGGGGAAAGTACTATTTGACATGAACGCAACTCTAGAGAAAAAGGGCCATAGTTGAAGAAAGTTTGATATCATATAGTGCATCACAATGAAAGGTACCTCAAAACTTGCTCAAATTGATATTCATATGTACAAATCCACCTTCCTTTACAATGGATCTCCAGCAGCTCTAGCCTTTTCTCCTGGTTAGTACAAAACAATTTGCGGAACTCATGGACATTGCTACTTACTCTGACTGCAGTTGGGCCACCCAATTCTCTCTCAAGTCCACCCTCAAACTCTCTTGGGACAGATTGCTTATCTGGGTACATCATGCCCACGACTGTGCAAAGTCCAAATACAGATAAAACAAAAACGCCCAATTGAAGCGCAGCCGTTCCTGGCTTTTGATGTGTGTATTCTTCTGGTGAGAACATGCCCAAAATATCATTGTCTTCATGAACTGGCTCTCCATAGTTTCTTCTCTCTTGCTTATCCCACCAATCGGCATGAGGGTCACGAAATTGACGCTTAACTCTGGGGGGGTTGATATATCCTCCGTTCTTCATACTATGTTAGTCTCTGTCTCAGAAATCGACTTCGGAACAAACTGACCATGCCGGGGTCTTCAATATCGGTCTTCGTCCTGCTCTGTCAGTGCATGCTTCTACATGATACAATAACTGCGATCAAGTTGACTGACCAACTGTGGATAAGCTGGATAAGCTGGTCCGCTGGAGGCAGCAGACTGACTGGCACATCTCTGTGGGATGAGGGTAGCTTGACGTGGGATGAGGGAGGTTCGCAGTGGTCGCGCTGCTGCAATACGTCTAGAGAACATCTGCAAATTATTCATTAGCAAAGTTGAGATCAATACGGTGACTTCAATATATATGGCATACTTTGAATGAGCCTTCGCGATTGATCGCAGTTATTTAAAAAGGTCGTCTTCTCTTACTTCTTGTGATCGGAGGTCGATGGGATGTTACTTGTTCGGTTAAAGGCCAAACTAGTGGCAGTTGGACCGCAATCTCGACGCGAGGAAGGTGTATTTTCTTCGTACTTCCTTCTACAGCACGTAATTTTTGCACAGCAAACGGTAAAAACATCTGGGCATGCCCAAATTTTGTATACAGGATCCTTATCATGTATGGAACCTTACGAAGTAGTTTTATGATTTCAAATGAAAATTTCATGAAGTTCAAGGTAGTGTCTGGCTTCCCCTCTCGAAAAGTATGACAACCGCGTCAGAAGCTCCCGAGAGTGAAAAAATCTTTGGTAAGGAAATCGATTGAAATTTTCCTCAACAACGTTGAATTAATATATTTTCTATTAGATATACCTCCAAGTGAAGATGTGCCACAGACCCCGAAAGCAAATGGACATGCGATTGAGAATGGCGATGGAGAAGCTCCCCCGAGCAAGAGGCGGCGACTCAGTAACGAGACAAAGACTGTACCGAAGCGCAAACCCGAATCGCCTCCGTGGAAGAAAGTCTTAGCAGAAGGGCCAACTTCTTTTACCGTCGATGGAAAACGCAAATCAGGCCGTGTAAACCAGATACCATTGGAGCTACAACCTCCATCCGAGAAGAGGACAACGCGGGGCGCGGCGCAAAAGGCCGTTACCTCAAAGAGTCAGCATGGCAATGCCAGTAGTATTCACTTATCTTCAAATCGAGATGCGTCCACACCCGCAACCTCACAAGCTTCTAAGAAGTCTGTCGGCCAAAGCACCTCGAGATCACCAGCCAAACCATCAACATCACCAAAGCGATCGCATCGAAAGACCATACAGTCTGAGCATCACTCAACGCAAGTACGGTCCGGCAACAAGAAATCCATTCCTACTAAAGATGCACAATCCACGCCTGTGAACTCGAGGTTGCGCCGATCGGGTCGCGCTTCTGAAATTGTGCAGAATGACCTGACGCATTCTTCGCCGGCAACACAAGTAGAAGGTATGGCAGATGAGACCCCCAAGTCTACACCAACAAAAATACGACTTCGAGTCAAGCCGGCGGGCATTCCTTTGATTCATCCAAATGCGCTGCCAAAACCACGAAAATTCCCGTCTTTCGAAGAGTTTTACGAGCAAGGGCAACATATATCAGCGGAAAATGGTGGTTTGCATAGCGCTGAAGATGCGGAGGTTTTCACCGAGGAAGATGCCAAGAGGGAAGCTCATACAATCTTACAGCTCGAAGATGCTGTGGAACGTGGTGTTCTAGGGTATTCGTTGAATCGCCCCGAGAAACAAGACCCCATGCCACCACAATATGCTCACCAAGATCATCTTGTGAGGGCAGCCCTCCACTTTCGGACGCTTATGATCAGAGAACAAAAAGAGCACCTAAGACTCGCGAAACAACTGGCTGAGGCATGCAGGGACGAATGGATTCGACGACAACCAAAGAGTCATGAACAATTGGAGGCAGAGGAGAGAAAAGCATCTGAAGTGCGCTATAAGACTGTCCTTAAGAGCCTTTTAGGTACCTGGGAAAATGTTAAAATAGAGGTCAACAGGCGACGGCTGGTTGAATGGGAGGCGCAAGAACAAGCACGAGTACGAAAAGCCCTTAACGAAGCTGTAGACATATCTACACAAAAGCTACAAGCTCGCAGAGCGCAACAGGATTCGGAAGATGATACTGAAGAGGATGATGAAGGCGAAGAGGCAAATAATGACTCTGATGAAATCGATCTTGATTCTGAGCTTAACCATGATGAAAGTAATATGTCCTCTACAGAATCGGAAGCTGATGAAGAGACTACTAAGCACGAAGATGAGCAACTTACTGTAGATGAACTGCGCGAAAAATATGCAGCCTTACCAGAAATTGCACCAGCCAGCGATGATAACGAGATGATTGGAAATGGCAGCGCAGATGAAGACATGGAAAGCGATCCCTCCATAGATATGGATGATGACACAGATTCTAGCGACGAAGAAGAGGATAGTGATGAAGAAGAGGGTAATGACGCAGATGAAGGTGGTCGTGCTGATCTTCTTGGATTTCTTTTACCTTCAGACATCAAAGATTTGGAAACTAGACAAGCCGAGTTAGGACAAGTCGAGGAAGTGGTGGAAGTAATAGACGAAGATTCAACTTCAGCTGTAGCAGAAGATGCGATGGAATTGGATGCCGACGATGGTGAAGCTTCCAACATACCTAATGGAGCATCCGTACCGGCATTAATGAGTGGGACATCCAAGAAGTCACCCCTGATCGAAGATATATCCTCAAGTGGACAGCATGATTTATCTAGCAAGCCAGAGGTTGTTGCAATGAGCCCTGATCGCAGTAGCCAGCCTACTCCAAGAACAACGGAAACTAAACCTTCAGAGGCTGATTCGGCATCATCTGTGGATCTTCATCAAAGTAGTCGACGCAACACACAGAGCGCAACCCCCCAACCTTCAAACGGATTAAAGACCCCGGTTCCTTTTCTCCTGCGCGGCACCCTTAGGGAGTATCAACACTATGGTCTGGATTGGCTTGCCGGTCTCTACGCAAACAATACAAATGGTATTCTAGCAGACGAGATGGGGTTAGGGAAGACAATTCAAACAATAGCCTTGTTGGCCCATTTGGCTTGCGAGCATGAGGTCTGGGGGCCGCATCTTGTTATTGTACCAACCAGTGTTATGCTCAACTGGGAAATGGAGTTCAAAAAGTGGTGCCCAGGATTCAAGATCTTAACATACTATGGCAATCAGGAAGAAAGAAAACGAAAACGTGCTGGCTGGAAGGACGATGATGCTTGGAATGTATGCATCACATCGTACCAGCTCGTTATTCAGGATCAGCAAGTGTTCAAGCGACGACAGTGGCACTATATGATTCTCGATGAAGCTCATAACATCAAGAATTTTCAATCACAGAGATGGCAAACCATGTTAAATTTCAATACTCGAGCACGGTTACTATTAACTGGTACACCTTTGCAAAACAACTTAACGGAGTTGTGGTCTCTGCTTTACTTTTTGATGCCCTCAGATGGAAGCGAGCAAGGTGTTGGTGGTTTTGCAAATCTGAAAGAATTTCAGGACTGGTTCAAGAAGCCAACGGAACAAATCTTGGAGCATGGCAGGGAGCAAATGGATGATGAGTCCAAGGCAATCATTAGCAAACTCCACAAGGTTCTTAGGCCTTATCTACTGAGGCGACTAAAAGCAGACGTCGAAAAGCAAATGCCTGGAAAGTACGAGCACGTTGAGTTTTGCCGTTTGTCTAAAAGACAACGTGAGCTTTACGATAGCTTTCTAAGTCGAAATGATACTCGAGATACTCTCGCATCGGGTAATTATCTTTCCATCATTAATTGTTTGATGCAATTGCGAAAGGTTTGTAATCATCCTGATCTCTTTCTCGATCGACCTATCATGACCTCTTTTCCAATGGAAAAGTCTGCCATCACCGATTTCGAGATCAAAGAGCTTCTGGTTCGTAGGAAGATGTTCCGTCAAGAACCTATGACTGAAGTTAGCTTGGACTTTTTGAATCTTGTTCCTGCGAAGCATGAATCTTTGTCCGGCATATTAGCCTCGGAAATTAACAGACTTAGTGCCAGGCGTGCTCTAGAAGTAATGAGGGAGGCCCAGCGTACAAGAGCCCAGAATGCATTCACCAACCTCGATCCCTCAACAGTCAAATCAAACTTGGTGTATCTGGAAAGTGCTTCTAGGTGGGGACGATTTGAAGAACTTCAGCATTGCGTATATCTCAATGCCCTTCGACGACAACAGAAACCTATCTACGGCAGTTCTCTGATTGAACGTCTAGATCTTCGTCTTGACCAGCGTCCACTACAAGCTAAACCTAAGCGGCGAACCAAGTTGATAGAATGGTTAGAAGATTCTTCCCCAGTCATGAGTTCAATGGTCCCGACATTTACATCACGATCTCAAGAACTACATACAACCATTCAAAAATTTGCTTGCGTGACACCGCCTGTGGTAGCGCGAGATATGAATTCGGTTATGTTTACACCTAAAGGTGTGAGCAGCTTTCAGAGCACCGTTGGCACTCAAAAAACAGATCCATTCCATGAGGCACGCATGAGACTATCCATTCAATTCCCCGACAAACGTCTCTTGCAATATGACTGCGGTAAATTGCAAACTCTAGACAAATTATTGCGTAAGTTGCAAGCTGGCGGGCATCGAGCACTGATCTTCACTCAAATGACAAAGGTGCTCGATATTCTTGAGCAATTCCTCAATATCCATGGGCACAAGTATCTACGACTTGATGGAGCTACCAAGATTGAGCAACGACAAATCCTTACGGATCGCTTCAACAATGACACTCGAATTCTTGCTTTCATTTTATCTAGTCGTTCGGGTGGTCTGGGTATCAATTTAACCGGTGCGGATACTGTTATCTTCTATGATTTGGATTGGAATCCAGCAATGGACAAGCAATGTCAAGATCGTTGTCATCGCATTGGTCAAACGCGAGATGTTCACATCTATCGCCTCGTCTCGGAGCATACCATCGAAGCCAATATCTTGCGCAAAGCAAATCAAAAACGTATGCTTGATGATGTTGTGATTCAAGAAGGAGAGTTTACTACGGATTACTTCAATAAGATGAACGTACGAGATGTCATTGGAGAGGAAGGATCTAGTCTTATGGACGGAGACGCAGCAGCTAATGCAGCCATGGATCGAGTTTTGGGTGGACCTGATAATGACAAAGATGTTCGACGTGTTTTTGCTCAAGCCGAAGATCGCGAGGATGTCGCCGCAGCTAGAGTTGCCGAACGAGAAATAGTGCAAACCGACGCGGCCGATTTTGATGAGAACGCAGTCTCGGCTTCCGCTACTCCTGGTGGCGCAGGGACACCTGCCGAAAGTGCACCAACTCCTGGTGCTGATGGAACACCCACCGTCGAAGACCTAATGGAGATTGACGAAGACGAACTTAACGCTTGGGGACAGCCAGTGGGATCGATGGACGATTATATGCTGAAATTCATGTCTGCTCAACTGGCAGACGCACCTATTGAATTACCCCGAGACAAGAAGAAGGGCAAGAAGGGCAAGGATCATCGAAATCGTCACAGGGCTAGATGATCAATTGATCCTCTCGGAAGTGATAAAAACGGGGCGTAAACAAAAGAGAAGAAAACCAACCTTGTAAAGTATTGATTGACGAAACATTTATTGCGCGTGTTTTATTAGACCCGGGTTCCATGTGTATTTGAGGAAAAGGAAGGCGTTGCGGCGAAATGGAAAGAAAGCCTTTTTTTTTTTTTTTTTTTTTTTTTGGTAACAATGGCATTCACGCATAAGATGGAGTTTTTTTTGTAGCGGCTTCTATTCTGTAGCTTGGGCTTGATTTGGGTTGGTTTAGCATGAGAGAATTGGAAATGCAAAGTGGAGGGAAGAGGAAGGGCGAAGGCGAGGGTCAGAGGATGATAGAATGATTAGGTGCTTTTGTAGAATAAATAGTACTCATATTTCGAGATGGGAATATAGAAGAACTCAACTTTGAAGCTATTCCAGTCAAGTATTGTGGTGTGCCTGTGTATAAGTTAAGTTAGCAGGTACATTCATATCATTCGATATAAAGAAAAGAAAGCGATATGTTGATATCAAATTTGCAATGCAAGGTTCACGCACGAAATGCATAGGTAGATCGAGATCTCTTCATCGGTTCATGGGTTATGAACCGCTTATCCGGAAGGCATGATGACGGGTCGCCAATTTTGATCATTTTTTAACCCAACCTCTTCTTTTTAACCAATCATCTAATTGTTTTCTCGTACTACCACCATCGGATCCATGCCGGTAAACTCAACGAGGGCTGGTCTACGAAACAATCTATCTAATTTTCTGATACCTAAGTAATCTATTTTGCTATTTGCTTACAAAGTGCATAACTCGGGGTCGCGCGAATCACGATGTGTTGAGTTTAGGTTGAGATGTTTTTTGGAGAGAGGGAAGAGAAGAGAAAAGATTGTAGGAGCTGGATATTTTTATATTATTAATACCTGTCCAAGTCAGATGATTTTTTTCTTTTTCTTTTTTCCTTTTTTCTTTTGCTACCTATCTAGGTACTTACTATATATGTAATTGCTAGTAGGAAAATGAGACAGAGTCTTCCCATTCGACAGCTTGCATTCATTTTATATCACAAACTTACTCATTGGTACTATCGGTAGTGTCTTTATCTTCCCGCTTCCCGTGCCGGAGCTTATCTCCGCTTGAATCCGTATCCATCCCCATCCCAGCAGCTTCCGACCCGATTTCCTTTTGGGCCGCTGAGCTGAGCTTTGCTTTGGGTGAACAATCTTCACTTCACTGCATTCATTGCATTGCAGGATTATCATCCCATTGATATCATATCACATTTTTGGAAAAGTCACATTCAAAGGATATCATTTCTGATCTCAGAATCTCGGATTGGATGAGACATTGAATTCCTTGGTTCAGGATAGGGATACACGAAAAGAAGATCACGAGAATTCTAGTGTTTTGATACTCAACCGCCGTCACAACCACATATCATTCATTCGGCTACGATAAATCTCTAATTCCTGAAAGGCAGTACTGAAAGGGAAATACTGAAAAAGGAACAAAATCCTTTCTCAAGTCTCAAACCAATCACCAACAAAATGAACGCAACATCCTCTCTACATTCCCCAATCTCTACCACCATGTCTCCGGCATTCGAAAGGTTGGGTCACGAGACGATTAGAGCTACCGCGTTTCTTCTGATACCTACCGAACTCCTCTACTTTTCTATCTATTTTTTACTCAAGAGACAATATGGAACGTATAAGAAATTATCAGCGTTAGCACTAGTCACGTTTTGCTTAAGTACTTGGATGAATCCTATTTCTTGTGGACCAGTAGCTGCTTTGAGGAATTTCGCCAGTTCGTATATCCATTTACCCATGATCTCCAACGATATACTAGAAAAGAACACATACTAATCCTCTTCAGTTGGAACCGGAATCTTCAAAATCCTAGATATCTATGCCCGACATCTTTCACTCCCCCAACTCAAAAATGACCCTCCAACCTACAAACATGCACTTCTACTCCTAACAGAAATGCGTTATGAATCTTTCACACCAAATTTCATCCCTGTTTCTCGATCTCAGGGATCTTTTAACGAATCCCTTCAATTCGCCATCCATATTGCCATTTTCTGTTCCTTGCAAATGTTACCACAGGATTGGGCGCTGGTATTGGCTTTTGAGGTGGAGTTAAGTATTTATATTACTTGGACAGCTATTCAGCTATTGGTGAAATATAGAAGTAGCCCGGCGCTTTTTGGAAAATTGTATGCAGTGGAAAGTTTGGGGGATTTTTGGTAAGTCTCACGTTGTGGTCTCGTTTCGAGATAAACTAACAACACCAGGTCAAAAACATGGCACAATGCATATTCTGCGCCATGTGCCTCTCTCGCTTATAAGCCCCTCCGTCAAACTCTACCCAAATTAGGTGTCCCAGTCCCGATCGCCAGGTCAGCTGGGGTCCTCGCGGCATTTCTCCTCATGGCCATTTTTCATGTTTACTGCTTAGCGCCGATGCTAACGGAAAAAGCACTTTTCCGAGTTGGAATGTTTTTTGTTCTAAATGGATTTGCAACGGTAGGAGAGACGATGGTTTGGGGAAGGAAAGAAAGTTGGATTAAGACGATTTTGGCGTGGATAACGGAAATGGGATTGGCGGCTTGGACGGCAAGCGCGTTGGGGATCCCGAGGGGAATTAATGGGATTAGATGGGCGGAACTTTGTGAGGTGAGGGTGTAGGGATTTTTGGGTTGAAGTTGGTGTTTTTTTGTATTGTGTGGGGGCTGTTTGGATACTGAATATGTTTGTTTGGAATGATGAAGACTCATGATGTTGTGGATTATTTTGGATGATAGGTCAGGTGGTTTGTTTGTATTAATGCAGCGAGCGTAATGATGAATATGAATATAATATTAAAAAACAAGACAGCTGAATAACTTAACAGACTTTGTAATTCTAACCCGAATGAACAGGCAAGATAATAAAAATTTCTTTTCGTCTCGTCTCGTCTCAATATAGCAATCTCCTTCATCTATTTCTTCTCCTTTCTTAATTCTTTCCTTTTCCTTTTCCTTTTACATCAAATAATTAGATGATTTTTAAACCCACAAATTAGCAATGCAAGAATTTTTATATTATCAAATATCTTCTCCTTTCTTTTTTTCTTTTCCGGTTCTTATTCTGTTGATACTATGAGGTTAGTATTAAAAACCCGAAATAGAATAAAATTGAATAAAAATAATAAACCCCCATTAATTAATAATTAGACATAGTATATTCATATTATGACTTGAGTTAGATTGGTATTGATGATTGAAGTATATTAGATTGCTAGATTTGTAGTTGAAGCATATTAGTGGTCAGGTGCGTATCATCTAATTATCCCTTTTGTATATATATGTGTATATAAAAATAGGGATTTAATAGTATACGATAAGATGAGACTAATTGATATTATTTAAGTAGATGGCAAGATGTACTCGAGTATGTGCTATGTACTAATAGAAATTAGACATACCAACGCACCATGTAATGCTAAAAAAACGAACTTTATAGTATTGATGTCTAATATTTTAAGGATTCTAGGTTGTATACTTATCCATAATGGCTTTTTTTACTCTACACCCGCTCATTCTATCTCTATTTTATTCTTTCTCTTCCTTTATAACATGAAACTTAATTCTATCTATTATACACCCTAAGAATTCTCGTCATCTCCAAAATAGAATCACTTTACAAATTAAACATCCCTCTGTCCGTAGTCGGAGTAGGAATCTTCCTTTTATTACCTCTACTCGTATATTCTCTTTTCTCCCCCTCTTTTTAATCTTCCTTTTATCACAAAAGTCATTATCTCGACGACCGCAGCGCAATTAGATGAATTTATTTATGATCAGGAGGTCGCTAATTAGCGAGGACCGATACATTGTGTTTAAAGAGGATCGATCGTATAGTAATAACTAATTTTTTGATGGGCTGGCGCAAGTAGTGATTTTATGTCAAATCAAGTGAAAAGTTATCAAAGAATTCAATGATAGTTTGAGAATGTTTCAGGTATTAATTCATTGTTTGACTGCACGGCTTTCTGAAATTCAAGTTAGTTGGACTTCGAGACCTTGCTTTTAAATTCAAGAAGAATTAATGCTGAAAAGCTGCAGCAAAGCTGTCGTGATGTCTCATATTATTCAGCTAGTCCCTCGAAAGTCTTTCAACCGTTCTCAATGTTCTTCTGATATATGGTTTAGATCATTCTAGCGACAACACGCAATGTCCCTGGTATTTTCAATATTCTAACGTTCAGCACGCGAATTTTTGGCGGACCCTCAAAGAACACCGACACATGATCTTTGATCTTCTGTTGTGACATTTTATCATCCATCGATACCTCCAAGCTTCCGCCTGAATGTCTTATATCTTTCTAAAACTCTTCCCTCCCTTTCCCTATGATGGTTATTATTGCTTCATTAGCTCCTAAGCTACTGTCAGCTACTGCATCGACTTTATCCAGGATAAATGTAACTTCCTCGCGTTGAAATCTGTGGTCTTCGTACTGCCTTGGAGTCTCGCTTCCACATATAAGACATACAACAGCTCCATGATAAACACAAAGTTTGCCATTCAATCTATCTTAGGGCTCTTCCTTTCTAGTAAGTTCTGGCGCAAAAGGATGGACCCTTGGGTAAATGGATTTGAAATCTTTGGTATTGGGCTCATTACCCTCCATGTCACGATGAAGCTGTGAGCAAGCATTGATAATAGGATGAATCGCAATTTCACTTGAAATGGCTTGAAGCTAGTTCTTGAAGATTCCCACCTTTCAGCTCGCTCTGTTGTAGGCATACAATAGGATTGTTCAGTCGAATCACTAGTCCCCAATTATTTCACTGGACCTCCTTCAATATCTGATTTCATAACCCCCAAAATGTTTGGCCAGCCTTTTTTCTTTAGCTTCCAAAACCTTTTCACTACTCGTGTAACCTCCCTGACCCAACATTGCAGCCATGAGACCGTTTGAGCTGCACGACCGGAATGAAAAGACTTGGTGTGAGACCCAAACAATTCTCAAGCCAGCAACTTGTGTTACCACAATTCCCAATGCATGCGTTGTCTGATCGACGGCAACATTTTATTGTTTCACAGCAGCTGCGGCAGCTTCGATGGAACTTGTCGTGCATGTAATGTCTCACCCTACAGCGTGATGCTCTGGTCGGACTTCCATGACAACTTTACATTCCACTTCGACACATACGGTCAAAACCAGTAGAATTACTTTTCCTAAGAAGTCACTGTTCCATTCCGCAACAGCAAGGAGCACACTAGCCGCTGGACCTATGGGATGAATAACTTTATCAAGACGTGTATCATCATAACCGTAGACGTAAGATGCTATTCCGTCCAGTAAGGCGGTATGCTGTGCATCAACACGACGAGACCCTTTGTGATCAAGCAACGACGTCAAGAGAGTGCCAGGAAATGGAGACTGGGAAGCATACTATCATAGAATTTGTCCAATGAGTGAGTACATGGAAACATGTAAGCTGAAGATGGAAAATTAACGGCTATAGTAGTTCCCGGATGGCTACTTCCACCGAGGGTGTATCCGGCCCAGTTATAAAACCTTCGCACAGCAGCTCGGATAACATCGGGTGGTAAATCGGAACATTTTAGACCATGTGCTCAAGATGCCACATATGCTGTAGCTATTCAATATGATCTTGTTATAACAGTGGCGGAGATGTTTCGGAGAATGAGAAGGAACCAGGAAACTCTTGATCACTTGAAGAGGAAACCCGATATATTTGCAAGTGTAATACAAAACCTATAACCTGATGATCGTCTAAGATACGAGATGTGAGGCGAGGTTTCATAGTAGAATTAGAATGGTGAAATGTATAGGTCGTCTCTCATTAATTGACATTAGACGGAAGAACACTTCCGCACAGCTCAAAGATAGATGTAGCGGCCATTTGACGTTTGTGACGTTTTCTCTATGGGAGTAGTCAAGCTTCGTTTGACATGCGGGGAAGTTGTCTAACTAGTGCCCAGCATTATTGGTGGCTAGGCAAGCTCTCCCCAAGCTTGTTAGTGGTTTAATACTAGATTATATGTGGTGTGCATATTCTTCAACAACACTACTTCGAATAACATCAACACCATTGGTTTAATGAGCTCCAAATATGTTATTTGTGATAAAGAGAAGGGTCTGGTGTGGTTCGGCCCGGTGTAAAGAAAAATCCCGCAAAATGGAAGGCGCGGGGTTGGGTTACACGTATAGAAGGAACCACTGGCAGTCTTCCATGATCCGACTATGATAAGAGATAAACCACTAGGAGAAGCACTTCTCCGTGAACTAGATATTCAGAAGTGCATGTTTGAATGTAAAATTCTATTTCTGGATATACATCGGAGGAGCAGGACACCAAGTAGCTCTCCTAGAAACAACAATAAATGGAAACCAAGTCATCTGCTGAAAGTAAGCTACAGTGAAAGCTATCACTATAAGACGACCATTTAGGAAGGGCCGACACCTGGAATATAAAACATCATCGTCCTCGAACCAGAAGAATAATTGAAAACCTACCGACTCACCTAAACCCTCTACTTACCTATACTATTATTATTTGCACTCGCGCCCCCTGATTCTAATCCATATCACGTATCATTGCCGAGAAACATGGCAAAATTCTTTGGTCTCCGAGGTCAGGCACTGCATCGTGCGATGATTTGGGCCGTCATCATGCCTGCTTATATCCTGTGAGTATTTGCGAAGAGAAAATCTAAATAATGATTGCTAATATTACTGCATTATAGATTTGGGTACAACAATGCCGTAAGTGTTGTTATTGTCTATTGAGCACAACAAAGATCCCATAATACAGGAACATGGGTGTAGTAATACTGAACCTTGTAGGTCGCTGGTGGACTACTTAGTCTGCCCGCCTGGATTGAAACATTCCCACGCCTTAATACCATCACTGTCGTAGGGATTGAAAAAACTAGCAACTCTCGATTGCAGGTCAGTTGAATTATACATTCTCTGCCCTCTTAGGTCACATGTTAACGCTCTCAAAGGGAACTGTCGTTGCTCTCTATACTCTCGGATGCTTTCTTGGCGCCTTGTCCTGTATAAGAATCGGTGATACCCTTGGTCGCAAACGAACAATCATGCTTGGAGCAGCTATCAACATGGTTGGAGCCATCCTTCAATCTTCATCTTATTCCCTCGGCCAATTAATTGTTGGACGTCTTATTTCGGGCTTAGGTTTTGGTGCGCTAACAGCGACCGCTCCAAATTGGCAATCAGAATGTTCTAAAGCGCAACACCGCGGATGTGTGGTGCTTCTTGAAGGATTATTCATCAGTGCAGGCTTGGCAACGGCTGCAGTTGGTCAACCCCTTTTCTTTTTTGCGACAGTCACTTTACTCCTTAATCATCATGGGCCAAAAAAGCAATAGAAACTGACCTTAATCAGTGGGTAAGCTTTGGAATGTCCCATGTCACCGGGGGAGTCACTTGGAGATTTCCACTAGCGCTTTCCATTGCATGGTCCGTCATCGTGCTGATTACCACGCCTCATATGCCAGAATCACCCCGTTGGCTGATCAAAAAGGGGCGGATAGAAGAAGCACGGGAAGTTGTATCAGCATTGGATGATATGCCCATAGACTCAGCCCAAGTACAGGCCGATATAGCAGAGATTGAAGAGGGGCTCGTGATCACCGGTAAAGGCTCATTTTGTGACATTTTCCGCATGGGTAACGAACGTCTTTTCCACAGAACATGTCTTGCAGTATGCGGCCAAATGTTCCAGCAACTTAGCGGGATAAATGCTCTCGCTTTCTATCAAGCTACAATCTTCGAGACTGGCCTGGGACTATCAGCACAAACAGCTCGTATTTTAAGTGCTTCAGTCTTTACTTGGCAGACCTTTTGTTCTCCGATAGGAGTCTTGACAGTAGATCGATTTGGAAGAAGAAAGCTAATGATGTTTGCGGCCTTTGGAATGGGATCTTGCATGGCTGTTATTGCGGGGACTTCTTCTCAGATAACTAACACTTCATGTGTCGCCGTCGCCGCAGCGTTCATTTTCATGTTTTCCTTGTTCTTCCCTACTGGATTTCTAGGACTGACTTTCTTATATGCTTCGGAGGTTTCACCATTGAGCGTTCGAGTACCTATCACCGCCATGTCAACAGGTATGTCTACCAAACGGCCTCTCTACGCGTCTGTACTGATTGAAAGCTGTAGGGAGTGCATGGATATTCAATTTCATTGTCGCCGAAATAACACCAGTAGGATTCACTACTATAGGATGGAGATACTACATAATATATGCATGTATCAACTTCTTCCTAATACTTCCAGGTGAGCCGATCAGTAGCCAGCCAGGGGCATACAATGCTAATCCTGGTAATAGGTGTATACTTTTTCTTTCCGGAAACCAATGGTCGTCATCTCGAGGAGGTTGACCAAATCTTTCTCCGTAGCAAAACCATTTTTGACGCTGTACGCGTTTCCAATTGTATGCCCAGAGGATCTGTTAGTTCTACCTCTACCGGTGAAGTCGAAAAGAATGAAGTTATCCATGTTGAAATGAGGGAACAGACGATCTGAGGTTCTCTTATTGGCGCCGAGAATTAGAACGACCCTTGTGATGTAACTTACATCGTCTAGCTGGCTTGTCAATTGGTGTGGCATCTGACGCCAGATTGCATGATGAGAATCTGAATATTATCCTTGAACATCGTTCCACATAGGCTTTGAAAGTATGAGATAACGTGTATTTGGGACTACCCTGATCTGCTCAATATATCTGGGGGACAAGTTCAACAACTTGCAAATATGTGCGCACGATGCTGGTATTGCATGTACGATGAATCCAGTACTCATAGTACTGATCAGTAAGAATACGAAGTACCTTTATTTTCCATCGCCGGCTAACAAGGTTAACCTACAATGGTGCTGTGCAACCTGTGATATTTATGCATTGCATGCAAGATTATCTAAAAGCAAATCACTCCAAGAAAGTATCTAGAATATAAACTTTATTTGTAAAAGTATATGACATGTAATTGGAAATACCCAGATATCGACATGCCTAGGTACCTACCTAGTTACTGCTTGGGACTTTTATTATTGAAACCTCAATCGCAAGGCATCCTACAATTTACTTTGTCTGAGCTGGTTTTGTGGCCCAAAAAGCCGAGAACAGGCAGAATAGAGGGGCGTCGCGTTGTCAAGCTCCTTAAGAGTACATATTGCATTTTAATTTCCCTTCCATCAACCTCAACTTTGTAGAAATCTATAAATCTGTCCTTTCAAACTTCTTTTTCGGGCAGTAAATCTTTAGGATACGTGGCCGTGAAATATTCAGCAAAATTGTACGAGGTGTGCGTCATTTCGTCTGAAGCAGGAAGGTGAGGGGTATCATAAATACCTAGATGAATGCCATTCCCCTGATCACTTCTATTATCTAGTATCTCGAGAACCTCCTCTTTTTGCGCAACATATATCCTACTTCAAACAAAAGACTTCTCGAATTAATCTAATACCTACTACGAGCTTCGAAAGCTACTTCTACGTCAAAGGAGTGAAAACAGCAGAAGAAATAGAAATAGCAGTTATGGCTTCAGAATTCTTCGTTTCCCTGTGGGAATCTATCTTCACACCCGGTCCCACTCCTGTTCTTCTCGTTGCGACCAACGCCACTTTCGCAGCTTTACAGCTCGTGTTCTTCCTCCTGTTGGTCGCTACCTACAGCATCCATTTTGTGGTTTTATCGTTCCTGTGTGGTGGGCTATGGTGGGCTATCAATTGGTTCGCAGCTGAGCTGAAGAGAGTGAAAGAGGAAGAAGAGGCACGAAAGAAGACAGAAGGGGTAGCTGGAGGAGATGGCAGTGATACGGACGTAGAGACTGTTGTTGATGACGAGGGCCCACCAGGGAGCAAGGAGGTTGAGGTGTTGGAAGTGAAAGGGGATTTGAAAAGTAGATCGCGTTCGACGGGAGGAGGGAACAAGAGTGAACCTAGTACGGAGGATGAGTGGGAGAAGGTCAGTGAGAATGAAAAGGATAAATAAACACCGCAGAGGCGAATTGTTGGAATTGATGGTAGGAAGCATTTTTGAGAGAGGAAGGGAGCTCGAGGAAATACCCGGCCGTTTAGATGATCATGAATTTTGGTGTACCATGCAAGTACAAATTTTGAAACTTATACAAGAAACTATGGATACCCAAGGGATGCAACAATGAATTGTATTTTTGAACTTTCTACAAATCAGAAATATCCTTTTTCGTTCATGCCCCTTGAACTTCGAGCTCCATCACCAATATCACCTGCAGCTTGACGTGAGTGAATTATGTGGCCTTAGGCATCAGTTGCAGAACGCGATTTCGACCTCGCGATAAAAGCTTCAAATACTTTATTTGTGTGTAGGCGCAATCAATTGGCCTCACGATCCACTATCAACCACCACGTCGAACCTCCGAACCCAATTTACATTAACAATCAAACCGGCATCATGAAGCTCGTCAGGTAAGCTTTTTCCCATCACCAAAAGGCCTTTAAATGGCATGCGCTGAGCTCAAATTCTTTCCAAGGCTCCTATCTGAATCTCCTGACTGACTTTCTCTTTCCCTGGTAGGTTTCTCATGAAGTGTGCAAACGAAACTGTCACGATTGAGCTCAAAAATGGTATACAAATTCTCTACGTCTCTCTTACTAGCCTGACTCTTAATTAACAGTCTGTTAACAACTATAACAGGCACAATCATTCACGGTACCATAACTTCCGTCTCTCCACAAATGAATACCGCTCTCCGTACGGTCAAGATGACGCCTAAGAATGGCGCATCTCTCTCCCTTGATACCATCAACCTTCGAGGTTCCACAATCCGTTACTATATTCTGCCTGATTCGTTACCCCTCGATACATTGTTGATAGACGATGCACCAAAGCCAAAGAACAAGGCGAGAAAGGAAGCTACAGGTGCTGCCGATAGAGGTGGTAGAGGAGGACCTCGAGGCGGACGAGGTGGAGGAAGAGGCAGGGGAGGTGGTGGTGGTGGATTCAGAGGAGGAAGGGGACGAGGGGGTGGAAGAGGATTCTAAGGATTGCGTAGGATGGTTGGTTGCGAGATTCGATGATCATTATGCCGGTGACGGCGACAAGAAAGGAATTGGAGGGAAGAAAATCACACTGAGAATGTTCGCTCTACTTGGCTATACAGATGGGAGATAGACCAAGAGAAAGAGGGTACCATGCATGCTCAGCTTGTGGGAATATTGGCGTTTTGAGTGGCATATGAAAAGCTGCTATATCGATCAATTACGAACGAACAAGGGGACGCCTTGTTGTGGGCTTTGAAACACGTATACATGGACTTGACCTTCAATGCATCACGATGCTACAGTGTGGTTATGTTGACTTTAGGAAGCATTAGGTGGCATGCGCCAAATCCTAACAATTTGCAATTTTTCCCATCCCCCAACCTTTCCACTATTACTGACAGTTTCTGCTTTCCACTCATCTCCAAAACCACGTATCCGTTGTTTGACGTCCTCAGGTTTATTTTGCGCACAAAGCAAGATATAGGCACAACCTCTCTCCTTATTCAGGACCTCCGGCAGTGCATCGATTAACCGATCTGTGATTTCCATACCATCCACTCCACCTGCATAAGACAAAGCCAGTAATTTCGAGTCCCCTTCATATGTTAATGTCCCATCCTCATTTCCTGCTCCAGACAGCTCTGGTATAGGCACATCCGGACTTGGCACATATGGCGGATTAAAGATTAGTACATCTACCATTCCAGGCTTTAGACAAGTCCCCAAATTTCCCACCACATTTCCTAAATATGAACCATGTGATAAAGCCTGTGAATTCTGTTCCTTCTCCGCTACCTTAACTGTTTCCTGCGTAGCCTCGCATGCATAGCGATTTACATCCACGCCTGCTGTAAGGATATCCGCCCTGCCAAATATAATTTTCGCATGTGCGTGAACGAAGGAGAGGACTACTCCAGACCCAGTGCCAATCTCTACCACAAATGGAGATGGAGATATTGAAGATTGTCCATTTTGAGGAAATCGTTGCTGTAGGAACTCTTCTTCACTGGTAGAGGATAAGGTATCGAGAAGCAGGAAGGAATCTTCGGCAGGTTCGTAAATTCGATCGAAAGATACATGTGAGGTATCAGGAGTGGGAAGCATTTCCACCTCGTTGTCGCAAAGAATGCGTACAAGTGAATGAGGGAAGGCTGTAGCTGGAAAGTAAATAAAAGAAGCTGCGGAAAGCTCAAAACGCCCCGAGCTCTGATTCAACAATTTTTCTTTCCAAGTCCCCGGGATAGTTCTTACAAGATCGCAGAAGCTTCTTCTTTCTAATAAAATATGCAATAAATTTCTACTTTTCCAAGTCCTCAGAGCTGAAAATTGCCTCAGATGTGCAACAGAACTTTTAGGTGTGCAGGTGGAAAATGAGACAAGGCTGAGAAACGAATTTTGGCGGGGAAATGCCGAAAGTCATCCATCGATGACTTCACCAGTTCTCACGCCTCTTTCTCTAGATTTCACAATTAACAACCGCACACTACAAAATGAAGGTCTCTCCGCGTTTATTTTTCGCGTCGGCTTCGTCGGCAGGTACGGGATCGGGCTTTAGAGCTGCTCCTTTGGCTTTATTACCCCCCATTCCACTGTATAGAAGATTATTTAGGGCGCATAGGAAACATTTACCTCGGGAGATGAGGTTAATCGGGGATGAGTATATTAAGAGCGAGTTTAGACAGCATAGAGATGTGGAGAATCCCGGTGCATATTGTGAGTTCTGTGAATTGGTTGAAGTGGTAATGGAGGGCTAAATGAGGGATAGATTGGCTTCTTATCGGAATGGCAGATGTATGCGCAGAAACTTGAGGGACAAAGTTGGATCGGGGAACGTATGGATAAGGCAAAGATTGATAAGATGAGTGGTATATACTTAAGCTTTTTGTGATGGGAGAGGAGGATACTAATGCCGTACTTAGACCAACAATTGGGACAGTTGTATGAGCTCATGCAAGCAATACGAAAGAAGCAAGCAGAGGAAAATGGCGAGGATTCGGGGCCCGAACAGCTATGAATATAAATGGTTCGCCTTATCTTATATGTATGTACATTATAAATGGGAGACGGAGTTTGGGGAGGGAGATTGGAGATTGGAGGGCTAGTGTTTCTTCTTCATGGCATGGATGGTATGGGACATGTATACACATACATACATTATGGTTCTCACCCAAGGAGATGCGATTGGAATATTAGGACTCTTTTAGTATTCAATTTTCGGTTTCATCTATGTGAATCACGGTAGTGGGAAGAGAATTGTGCTTTCTCCTCGGCGGTAGTTCGCTATTCACTGTATATCTTCATGTCTCCTACAGGAACACACTTTTAAAACTTACCGCCTTCTAATTTACCTACGAGGACGACTATGAGGTCGAAAAGTACATGAGAGCTTCCCACTCCATCATAAAAACCCACAAACTACCTACAAATCATATACAAACCTTCCATCCACCATTCCACATCCTAAAATGTGCAAATACACCTTCCACCAATCCTCCACCTGCCACCACCACCACCATTCCCATCTCTCACCCAAAAGAAAAAACACTTCCAAAAATCAACCCTGCCAATGGATACAAATAGCCCAACCCTGCGGCTGGGGCAGAGGTCTCCTCACCTGTCCCATTTTCGCCTCCAATGCTCTAAGAATTCATGGTCCTAATGTTATAAGAGTGGTGAGGTATATGTGTCCGATGCATGATGGGAAGGGTTTCTATGATAGGAATATGGTTAAGATGGTTGTGGAGTGTAGGACGGGGGGTTCGGTGAGATTTTTTTTTTTTTTTTTTTTGAGTTTGTAAGGGTGGGGTTGGGTTGGAACTTGGAAGATGTGTGGGAAGAGGGGAGGGGATGAGGGTGTGGGGTGGGGAAGAGAAGGAGAAATGAGGGGAGGGGATGGTTGGGAAGTGGTGAGATTGATGAGATGGTGGGAGCTAATAGTGTGTATTGATAGTGGTTTGGACCGCCTGATATAATGCCAGAACCGAGAAAGAAGGAGGTGAAGAAGAAGAAGATTGAACGGAGGGATGATGTCAAG